CCAGATTTAAAGGTGTTGACATTACTTTTTGTCGTGATCATGGCCTCTGGGGTATGTACAATATTTCTTTGGGTCCCAGTGGAAAGCTCTTGTTCTTATCGGCGGTGCCTACTTGAAATATTCCTTGTTCTAAATGGTTTCTACTATCTCATCTCCTATAATTAACTGACTTTAGTCAGGGCATCGTGACTTATGTCGGTCTCCCTCTTATCTCGAGGCGGCCAATTGCCTCCATACCATGAGAGAGCAGAATGACGTAGATCTTCCCTCGACCGACACATGTCATCTCTAAGGGATCTTTTTTTGTAGATGACAAGTGGATGATTCCGCTCTGGTTAAAGCAGGAGTGGAATTTTACTTCTCGACTAAAATGTAATTGTTGGTCAGCTCTAACAATTCAGCTAAGGTTTTCAGTCATTGAAGGCCTAAGGCGTAGTGAAAAGGTCCTTCTTTCAGCCCTTGAGCTAGGGCGGCGCTTGCTACCACGGGTTCTAGGCCTTGCACCTCATCATTTCCTTCAGTAATTTGGGTAATAAACGAGCGTAGGCTCTCGATTAACCCCCATAACAAAAATACCGACAATATAGAGCGCAACACGAAGCTTGCAAACCAACAGATTTGGAAGTTGAAAGATTAAATTATGGATGAAATCTAAGAGGAACTGGCTTGGGGAAGAGAGTAGTACCCCCAAGAGAAAGGGTTGGTGCATAATGGCCAACGAGTCCCCACTAACCCTGGAAAAAGAAGGTGAACCCCAGTACATCGATAGAGTTGGATCAAAACAGATTGATCAACACCGGTTCAAGCGTACTGAGGTGTCTCGATAGCCAAAGAATGTGTTCTTTGGCAAATCTCTAAGGTTAAGCTCCAAAGAGGTTCAAAATCATGGTATTGGAGTTCTATAAGGCAATGACTGATCTGACAGACTACATATGAAAGTTTATTAAATGGCAAAAGCAGTTGCACATAATTCACCCGACTGAAGCCTCTTCAGTCTGGCCCATCGGAACGAATCTCCTCAACCTTTGAAGATTTTTGGTACCACCCTAGTGATGTGAATGACATTCGTTTAAATAAGTTCATACAAAATTTCTTCCTTTGGAGCCTTTTCTTGCTTTTGAGTAATTGCTCCTGGTGCCACAAACTCCTTGGGTTTTTCTGCTTTGATTAGCTCCTCGGCCAGATTTAAAGGTGTTGACATTACTTTTTGTCGTGATCATGGCCTCTGGGGTATGTACAATATTTCTTTGGGTCCCAGTGGAAAGCTCTTGTTCTTATCGGCGGTGCCTACTTGAAATATTCCTTGTTCTAAATGGTTTCTACTATCTCATCTCCTATAATTAACTGACTTTAGTCAGGGCATCGTGACTTATGTCGGTCTCCCTCTTATCTCGAGGCGGCCAATTGCCTCCATACCATGAGAGAGCAGAATGACGTAGATCTTCCCTCGACCGACACATGTCATCTCTAAGGGATCTTTTTTTGTAGATGACAAGTGGATGATTCCGCTATGGTTAAAGCAGGAGTGGAATTTTACTTCTCGACTAAAATGTAATTGTTGGTCAGCTCTAACAATTCAGCTAAGGTTTTCAGTCATTGAAGGCCTAAGGCATAGTGAAAAGGTCCTTCTTTCAGCCCTTGAGCTAGGGTGGCGTATGCTACCACGGGTTTTAGGCCTTGCACCTCATCATTTCCTTCAGGAATTTGGGTAATAAACGAGCGTAGGCTCTCGATTTACCCTTGCTTGATCTGCAGTAGGGCTTATGAACTCTTCCAGAGTTTTTGGGCACTTTTGAACTGCATCATCAACATTAATTTGAAGTTGGTGAAGGATGTGATCACTTCCGCTAGCAATCTGTTAAACCATCTGAGAGTCGACCCCCTCAACATATTGAAGAATAGGAGGCACTTCATTAATTTGAAGTTGGTGAAGGATGTGATCACTTCCACTAGCAATCTGTTAAACCATCTGAGAGTCGACCCCTCAGCATATTGAAGAATAGGAGGCACTTTAAGGCATCTGTGATCCTTAGCAAGCAGAAGGTCAACTCAAAGAAGGCAATGTGGTATGTAGGATCAGTCTGACCGTTATAGGATATTAGAGCCGGAAATTTGAATCTCTCTAGGGGCTCAGCTTTGAAAATCTTTTGAGAGAATGGTTCTCTGGATGGATGTGCGCTTTGGTTCACTTGAACTGTTATTTGTCCAACAGTGCCGACAAAACATTATCAAGGTATTAGGAATCTCCAATCCTTTCTTCAGGCTGAGGCATCCATCAACTATTCGGCACCGACACTTCAACTCCTAAATTTCTTAATGCACAAACTCCCAAGGGCATAGCATATCGACATTATCTCTGTTGTGAGTTTCTTCTCC